GCTGCGCTTTGCCTTCCAGCAGGCGCAGGAGATTGGCCGCAACAAGGTGCGCGTCGTGCACAAGGCCACCATCATGAAGATGAGCGACGGCCTGTTCCTGCGCGTCGCCCGCGACGTCGCCAAGGAGTTCCCCGGCATCGAGTTTGACGACGAGCTGCTCGACAACACCTGCCTCAAGATGGTCACGGACCCGCTGCCCTACAACGACAAGGTGCTCGTGATGCCCAACCTGTACGGCGACATTCTGTCCGACATGTGCGCGGGCCTGATTGGCGGCCTGGGCCTGACGCCCTCGGGCAACATTGGCGACGAGTGCTCCATCTTCGAGGCCGTGCACGGCTCGGCGCCCGACATTGCCGGCAAGGCGCTGGCCAACCCGACGGCGCTGCTGCTGTCGTCGATGATGATGCTGCGGCACATGGGCCTCAGCGAGTACGCCACCCGCATCGAGAAGGCCGCGTTCGACACGCTGGCCGAGGGCAAGGCTCTGACCGGCGACCTGGGCGGCAAGGCCAAGACGCACGAGTTTGCGGCCGCCATCATCGAGAAGCTGTAAGGCGTTCATTCACAATGGGGGTATGGGGAGACTATGAGATGGTAGGTGGCGCCCGGCACCCTCTCTCGAGACGAGTGCGGTAGGTGGGATGGATGGTCGACGCACGATTCCATCGTCCACCGTGCTTTTCTGCATGTCATTAACGACCGTCAAGGATGTCACTTTTTTCATTATTTTGGTTTCCTGTTTTATACAAATGTTTTTTTTGTTGTCCTGTTTCGTTCCTTTTCGAGTCTCGTCGTTTCATTTTGTACATTTGCATCGCCCGTACATTTAGATTTGATTCACACCGATGAGCCATTGCATGCAGGACCTCCAACGGTGGTCCGTTCAGTTCAGCCTCATTGCCCTTGCCGAGTGACCGCAAGCATCTCCCAGACGCAACCTGCTGCCAGCCGCATCGTGCCGTCGTACATTGCATGAAATGCGTCAAACAGACCTTCTCTCCAGCTAACGATACGACTGGCCGGCCGCCAATGATTAAGCTCCCCTAGAGGCCGTCTACGCGACCATTTGAAGGCCACCCAACAGGCTGGGCCACTTTGCAAGTGAATGGGACGGATGACATGAGCAGCCGCGCTACCCTGGCTCGCTTTGCTCCGGCGTACTTGCGGTACCTCGTCGCCCACTGTAACTCCTCTCTTTCGCAAGTCACGGCCGCTCTTTATCCTTCTCTAGTCTCTCTTCCTCTCCGCCATTTCTCGCCCGGAGCTGTCCTTTTGTTTCTTCTCTTTTGTCGGATTCTTTTCTACCTTTTCCTTTTATAATTTTGTCCTCCTTTTCTCATTCCTCTTCCTCCCACGCCGACATCGAAGACTCATCGCATCGTGGCAGCTTCTCGTTCTCCGTTTCGATTTGCGTCTCCGTCTCGTTTGCCCGTCCTCTGCGCCTGTGTCTTTCTTTTGCCTCTTTTGCTTTCTTTCCCTATTCTATTCGTCGCCTGCTCTCTTCGATCGCCTCCAACTGAGCACCATCAGTCTGTCTCATCTGTGTCTCTTTACGTTGGCCAAAAAGCCAAGCCGATTCTGCCGGCAAAATGCCTCTGCCTCTCGTTGCCAAAGGTGAGAACGGAACCACCCACGATCGACCCCGCCTACCGTCATAGCCCTTTGCGGTCTTCCCCCGAAAGCCCCAAGCGCACACCAAAATGTACCCCCAGAACCCGCTAATATCCCCTGTTACCGCCCCTCTTCTCCCCCACCTGCCCTGCTGCCCTTCTATTTCCAACTACCACAGTATCTTACACCCCTAAAACTCGCCCCTAACACAGCAACTTGTCACAAGCGCCATTGATCGGCTGCCCACTTTCCTGCACCTTCCCGCCGCCAGGCGCTCCTGCAGGGCACTTTCCCATGACGGCACGTGCACTATGTCTTACAAGAAGTAGCCCTGGACGGCGGCGGCAGTGAGGTTGATTCCTGGTGGCAAGAGGGCTGCCTCACCCAAAAGTTTGCCTCATCGCCAGGAATTGGGCTGCCTAGACGCTGCGTTACGCACTCGTTTCTGGTGGCCGTCTTCCTCTTTCTCAGCCTTTTCTGTCTTGTTTTCCCAACCGTTTCCAATCGAAATTTCGATTGGTTTTTTTCTGTCCATTTATTCACTTGCTTTTGCTTACTTTTGCTGCCCGCATCATCCATACAGCGGCCAACAGCTGCATCTCGTCTTTTGCGTCAACAAGCGAAAAAGGCGGAGCGCCCCAATTACACCATATCCCACCAGCTCTCTCTTTTCGTTGATTCATTTTGTCTCCTTACTCTCCGCTTCCTCACGTCCTCATCGCGTAGCCCACTCTTCGCCATGCCTCCTGTTAACCCAGTGATCGTCTCAGCCGGCTTCATCGCCATTTCCGTGGCCGTCGTCGCCGCCATCGCCGTCTATGAATCCCCCGAAGTCCGCCGCATGGCTGACGACCTCCGTCGCCGTATTGCTGTTGCCATGCAGTCCCTCAACGACTCCGTGAACGGCGAGGGCACCGACGAACGGAACAGAAACAGACAGCACGAAGGCGAACCTGTCTTCAACCGCCCCGAGGACGCCGAGGGCTTCATGCTCTCGCAAGGCCGCCGCTCGGCCGGAGACCCGGGCGTCGTGGCCGACGAGGAGTCCCGCCGCCGCCAGCGCGAGGAGCTCCTGTACTGGAACCGCATGCAGATGGAACGCAAGAAGGAGGAGGAACGCAAGGCCAGAGAGGCGGCCCGTACACAAGCACGGACGGGCGAATCGCCCTCCTCGGCGCTGGAAAGCCTGCAGAGAGCCACCCGGGACGCAGCCGCAGCGGCCGGTATTTACTTGCCATCGCTGGGTGGAACCCCGGCCCAGCCTCGCAGCAAGACGTCGTTTGACCAGTTTATGCGCCCGGATCACAACGCCGACCGCGGTACCTTTGTCGTCAACACGGGCGCCGATCTGATGAGGATGAGTGACTCGCAGCTGTCGTCGGCCGAGGACCCCCTCAGCAGCGGTATGCTCCGTCGCCGGCGGCCCGAGGGCGTGCGTGGTCTTCACACTGCTGCGCTGTACGCCAACCCGTTCGGCGACGAGTACGGCATTGAGATGGACGAGCACGACGACGACCATGGCGTCAGCAACGGGCGCCGCCACACGGCCGACCCGACGGCCGCCGAGGCGTACAACGCGGGCACTGCCTACCTGATTGCACCCGACCGGGACGAGACCATGTCCGACATCTACAGCGCGACGGAACCCGACACCAGCACGAACCACATGGACGCCGTGTTCGATCCTCTGCCGGCGATTCCCGAGGCCCGGCAGACCACCCGCGCCGAGGTCTTCTTTGACGTCGACAACTACGCCGACGAGGTCAAGGCCGCGGCCTCACCCGCCACGCTCGCCGCTGCCCAAGTCGACTCCCAACTGTCTCTGCGGCTGTTCCGCACGCCCGAGGACAATGCCATCGACGACACGGTTGTTCTGCCCGGCCAAGATTCCCAGGACGCCACCCAAGACGCCAACCAGGACGCCAACCAGGTCAACACCGAGGCCTATAACTCCATCCAGGCCTGGGCCCAAAACTCCAGCAGCCTGCCCGGCTTCTACTCGCCGCTGCCCGTCACACCCTCGGTCGGCATGTCCGAGCCGTCCATTATCAGCGGCGGCGAGATGACGCCCACCGGGTCCGTGTCTGTGTGGGGCGACGACCACTCGGTCGTTGACCATGCCGATGCGCAGACGGACAGTGTCCCAGAGCTTGTCCCGGTGGCAGCAGCACAGATCGCGACGGCACCGTCCGTGCCCTCGACCACACCGTCCTCGTCTGCCGCCGTGTCCGTCGCCGATGCCGGCGCCTCCGACTATGGCGTGCTCAGCGAAGCCGACGACAACGGCGACAACGGCGAGAACGGCGAGAACGAGAGCGAGAGCGAGGGTGTCCTGACGCCGACGAGCTGGTCCGAGGTGGGCAGCGTCGTGAGCGAGAGCGATGCAGGTGTGCACGCCGTGCAGGCATAAACTATTGTGTGGCAGTTGTTTGATCGTTTGCTTTGGTCTTTTGATTTGGTCGTTTCTTGCTCTTCATATGGATGGCGTTTTATACATCGGCTGGACCAGGGAGGAGTTTATTTACCGGCTTGTTTCTTTTTTTTTTCCCTTCTTTTCTTCTTTGCTCCTCCATAATTGTGCCTACTGTTTATCCTCTGCACATTGATCGCCCGACTGGGATATCCCTGAAAAGCGAGGGAATCCAATGGAGCGTTGCGTGTCGGGTAGCTTTGCCTCAGACGTGCATTGAGCAGGATACACCACGTCCCTATGAGCTTCACAGCAGAACCTACTCATAGATATGCAATCCAACCAGTTCCACACAATAGGCGATGAGGGGATCTCTCCGTTCTTGGAACTGTCTTCTTCGGAGGGGAAAGGCATAGAGGTTAAATATTTTCTTATTTTCTCATTCATGACCTATAGTCTCCGCGTATTCCAAAGGCATGTAACTAAATCTGGACATTCTCAAGCACCATACATCATACCTCTTTTACCAGAGACTTCGAGTTGCATTGAAAATCACGACACTCGCTAGACAATCTGCTAATCCGTAAAAGATCCTCCCCGCCCCCCTCCCCCAGAACTTAATACCAAACGGGCAATTGTTCAGTGTGCTGCACTGGGCAGAAAAGGGTTGAGAAGGACTCGTCAGCCAGTTGACGCTCATTGGACCACCGGCCCAGCAGCCCTGTTGCGCCTTCCTGCGAATGATAATGATGCAGCCCCCTGTCGTGGATAGCCCCACCTTTTTCAGATGGGCTCCTTCTCTTTTAGCGGTCACGTCTTCGCGTTGTCAGTGGCCTTCATCCTTCGCTCCTGCCTTATGCCGACGCACCACTGTAGTTTTTGGTTTGGCCTGTTGCATTCTGACACTCATGCCCTCCTGCTTCCTGGCTCGGTCTCTGCAGTGTGGACCAAGATTCGCCCGATTCTTACAGTAGGCTTATTCTTTCGGTCCCCGCCTCTTCTGTTGTAGGAACTGTCCTTTCGTCCTGTGTGGTGTCCAGTGTTCAGTGCTCAGTGGCTCCAGTGTCCTTTGCAAGTTCGTTGTAGAGGCGTTCCTGCCCACTTTCGTCGCCGAATGTGCCGTGACTTCCCTGTTCGTCGCTGCTGGGGCCCCTTTTCCCTTTCCAGTCGCCGAATCCATCCCCCTCTCCTTCCGTTTTTGCTTCTTCTCACGAGGCTGTTGTGATTGTTTGCTCTTGCCCGTTTTGTTCTTGGTTTTCCCAACAAAAGGCACGAGGGTAAACTCACGATCTTTTTTTGTGGTGGCCCTTGTTGGCCGCTTGTCTTGCTTCTTATATCTTTTTCGGTCTTCTCGTCGTGTTCCTACTTGGCGGCTCGCTAGGCTGCCCCCAATTCGAGTTTCTCGTCCCCGTACTCGTGCCAGCATCATATTCATTGTTGCCTCCCGGCTCATTAGCGAGGACGACTGAAATCCGGCAGCCTGCTACTATCAAACGACGACGAGAATTAGCAAAGTAGACAAACGATCATGCACGGCCTCCTCCAGGCCGGCCTCTTGCTGGCGCCGGCGCTGGCCAGAGGCGTCGGTGCCACAGCATCGCCACAACGTAAGACATGGAGGAACCGAAGTTGCGGAGGCACAAGACGTCCCGGGATCATGACGTGACGCTCGTGCCTTATTCCTATCTCCTGAATGTCGGGGACTGACTCTCTTCTAGACGACAAGCCGTCGGCCTTTGTCACCCTTGATGTTCCAGATGCCGGCCTTGAGAACAGCACGCCGTTTTTGGTACGATATTAGCCCGTTTGGATTTATGTCCCGTACAATTCTGTCGCCGAGCAGTCGAGCCCCTTTGGCACAGAGCCACTAACTTTTTGAAACTGGCAGACCTTCCGCCTCGATGTCTTTGAGTCACTCACCCCCTGTGGCACCGCCAACGTCACCATCAATGGCGAGGCCCTTCCGGAGGACGGCAAGCTCTCACTGCCGCTGGTCCCCGATTTTCAGGCTTTGGACACCGCCGAAGCGGACACGAACGCCGACGAGACGAGCAACAAGGACACGCCATCTGCCGTCATCAGCTGGGGGAGCGACTGTGTTTCTTGGGGTGGCCGGGACCGTGAACAGGTGATGAACCTCCGTATCGTTTCTGTCAACGGTGTGGCCGTCAACGACGACGCCGCCAAGGCTCCCACAACCGTCCGTTTCCGCCAAATCGCACCCGCCCGCATCGTCCTTATTCAGAACGCCGCCAGTGCCTTCCATTTCAACGACGAGCACTTCAAGCCTCCGACGACTTTGACAGCCTCGGCTGACACGGCTGTCGACACCGACGACAGTGACAACACCTCCGACAACGACGCTGATGCGGCCGACCTCATCGCCTGGGAGAACAGCCTCATCATGATGCACCGCAGTGTCGCCCTGCTGCACCACAGCATCGACGCCCGCGAACGGTACATCGTCGATCGCTTCGGCCCATCTGCGTCTCCTCTTATCGATGCCCATAAGTACGGCGCTGGCAAGAGAGGTGGCCCTTGCTCCGGCGTTACTTCGGTGATCGGCTCGGTCCTGCACAAGGTCGCTGGCACTGCCAAGTCGCTCTACGGCGAGCTGATTGCCAACACGTTTGGCGAAGACACGCCACGTGGCCAACCTGGCTGGGCCCCGCCACATGGCCATCACCACGGCGCTCCTCAAGGTCCTCGCCATGGTCACCCGAAGGGCCAGCCTTTTATGTTCCGCCCCTACTGTGTTCCTGAGCATGGCCGTGCTGGTCCGCCGCCTCCGCCGCCGCCACCACCTTCATTCCTCTTCCACTGCTCGTCCGTTTTCGCGCCTCTAACTGCACCTGATGACGAACTGACGACCCCGTCGCCACCGCCGCCGCCGTCCAAAGGTTTCCGGCCGAAGCATCCTCATGGCCCTCCTCCTCCAGTCTCTCAGCCTTCCAACGACGAGGGTCACCATCATGGCGGTCCTGGTCCTGAAGGTCCTTCCTGGGTGGGTATGGCTGGTGGTGGTCGCTTTGATAAGCGCCCTGTCAACAAAGGGGGCGAATTCCGCGGCCGTAAAATGCATGGCTATGGCCCGGATGGCCCCCAGCCACGGGTTGCGTGGAAGCATGGCCACCATGGCTACGGCAGTCACCTGTTTAGGCATGCCCCAGTCGCGAAGATGGTCGCTTTCTTCAGTCTGGTTCTTATCCTTTTGTTCGTCTTCGGTCGTCGCTGCCGCAATCGGCGTGTGAAGGAACGCCTGCTTCGCCGAGCCAATCGCCCAAGAGGCTTTCGTAGGTTTACAACTCGCTTCCAACGGAGTACTGAGGGGTCCCAAGAACGTCACGAGCGCCAACAAGATCGTCACGAGCGTCGGCAAGCCCGTCGTGAGCGTCGTCGTGAGCGTCGCCGCGAACACAAGGCGTCTGTTCGCAGTTTCTTCCGTAATATACGGCGTTTTGTGTTCGGAGGTCACAATGGCGATGAGAAGTTGGGCGAGCCCAACACCAGACCTTCGGATCGCACGAACCTCCGCACACCGGCTGACGGTCACATTGTGACCAGCACGCCCCCGTCTCGCCAGCACTCGCCCGCCCCCTCTCTGGAAGACGAGATTGCCGAGTTCCGTGCCGCAGCTGATGTTGTTGGCCAGATGATTGCCGCCGAAGAGGGTCGCGCTGCCATTGCGCAGACGGCCGAGTCAAGACGGCAGCAGCAGGACGACGACCTGGAGCGGGCGATGCACTCAGTGTCACCACCGGCGTCCCGGAATGCCATACGTCCGGCCCCTGTTTCTGCTTCTGCTCCTGCTGCTGCTCGTGCCGCACCACCACCGGCACCAATAGCACCCTACCGCCAGCCCCCACCACCACCGCCGCCGCCGCCATCCGTGGTGAACACATCCAACGTTGTTGCCGGTTACGGCCGGCGCGACGCGGCCGGCATTGATTCGGACTTTGATGATACCGAGTCACTGCCGCCTGCGTACTCCCCTGACGACGACGCATATGTCAACTTCGTTGAGGCGTCTTTGGTTGCGGACGGTTTCCAGTACCACCCGGGCGCCAACCATTAAGTTCAAGAACCACCATCGAGTCAACATACAAATGACCGCCTAAACAAGCTAGTGTGCTTTGAAGCGAGCCATATACAAACATTTCTGGGATTTGTTGTCTTTTCTATTGCGCGGCATATCGTGATGCTCCATATTCTATGTTGTCACACTTTTTCTATTTTTCACTCTTCTCGATTTACGCAGCAGCACGATTTCCATTGGGTTTCTTTGTTTTCTTCCTTATTGGTATTTTCCGGTGTTATAAGTTGCCAGCAAGCTTGGGCCACAGGTACATTGTTGTTTGTTCTTATCTTATGTTTTATACTGTATATTTCCTATGTCATCGTCGGACCATCTATTTACAGGCAACGCAAGGTTCGCGCCCTTAATTAAGGCAGATAGTTTTTCTTTTTTGGATCACACAAACATGGATATTTGATATATTTTGGACTACTGATAATTGCTTCCTTCATGCCTGCCCATTCTTTGGTTTTGATGATGCCCGCAGGATAAACGCATCATAATTTTGCGCTACGCGCTCCATGCCCTCGGCCAGTGTCCACTTCTTGATGGCACACACACGCCGACAAATGTCTTCAAGTGCAGCATCCATTGCCGGACCGGCGGTATGCAGATCGCTTTCAACCAGAATCCGGTCTTCCGGGCACGCCGCAATGACTTGGGCTGTTCGTTGGCACCCGCTCTCGGTGCTGCAGTTGACAGCAGTGGAGAAGGAAAAGTAGATGGCCGAGGGGATGTGGGGGTCCAGGTACTGTCGCAGCATGTCGACGGGACCGCTGAACGAGTGCAAGCAGATGGCCGGTGGGAACGGTTTGGGCGTGGCCACAACCTTGCCATCGTTAGAGTGACTGCCGTCGTCCTCGGCGCCCTCCTCGCTGTCACTGCCGTCGTTTTCGATGCCCTCGATGCCGGCGATGCCCTTGATTTGGTGCCGCTCGCGCCGGGAGAGGACGGTCCGCGCATGGCCACGCCAAGTCGCAGCCAACGTCGAAAACAGCAAGCCATGCGCCTGCACGCCGTGGACGCTGACGGGCCGCTTCAGTTCGGCCGCCAGCCGCAGCTGGCCCGCGAGAATGGCCACCTGGTGTGCCGGCTGCACACGGAACGGCGACAATCGCCGGCCCTCGCGGCCACCCGGCGTCAGTCCTTCGGCCGCTGCACTACCGCTCTCGACCGCCGGTTCGGGGACGCGGAACGCTTTGTCAACGCCAATCTCACCGACCAGGGCCGTTGGATGGTCGATGAGCCGTTGACGCGTCTCGGCCAGAAAGGCAGACAACGGCCGGACCGCAGGAAGACTGTTGGCCAGCGCATCGAGCGCAGACAACAGGGCCGCCGTCTTGTCGTGGTTGTCTTGGTTGTCTTGATTGTCGTCTTTGGCGTCGTCCCTCTCCGTACCCAACGGTGGGGAAGGTGTCAGGACCGACGCCAGGTGCCGTCTCTTGTCCTCCATAGATACGAGGTCTACACTGCCGCTGCCTTGTCCTTTTGGCAAAGCACCTGCCGCCGTATCATCGTACAGCTGATACGAAAACCAGGGGTGCCAGCCAAAGGCCGGAACGACCTTGGGGTCGCCGGCGCCAAGCTGTGCCACCAGGTCCTGGTCCTGCGCTCGTGTCGACATGACCGTCAGTGCCGCCGTTCCCATGCCCGATATTGCGTGCAGCGACGCCATCGTGTCGGTCGGGTGGCAATGGGCATCGTAGATGCGACCTGTCTGCCAGGGAAAGATCTCGTCTGCATTGGGATCGTCCAGACGCACCGCCGCCTGCGGCACATGGACGTCGCTGTCACCGCACATTATGCGGAGTGTGAGGACAGTTGAATCGGTTGATTGAGGCACACTTGAAAAATATTGTTTTGGATGAAAGTGTTGATTTTAACAGCTATATATAGTTGATGTGCTAAATGATTAAAAAGAGATGTCGTTGGCACCATGCCCTGTTACACGTACTAGAGCTAGCGGAAGAGTCATCAGGCGGGATCAGCCGGTGGGGTTTTACAGCGGGAGCAACCCACTAAAACTTGCCCAACATGGAAGGGCTCCAGAAGACTGCAGACTGGACGACGAAATACATGAACAATCCCATCACAGTCACCACGTTTGGTATAGAGGGGAGTCGAGGGGCTCACACTTTGTGATTGCTTTAAAATTCATAGTACTCATAGTATCATACCATCGCTGCACGGCCGGTCCACGGCAGCGCAATGCCTATACCCAAGGCGCAAAAATGACAACAAAAACGCCGTACACCAGCCCAGTCTATATGTACAATTTGGCCATCTTTCCCTCGTAGCCCTTCATTTGTGCGTTTCTCCTCTGGCTGCAGTTATAGCGTCTGCCAGAAGTAGTTGGCGTAGAAGAATCGTGAGAACTTCTTGTCCATGTTGACCACATGCACGTCGCCCTTCCGGTCGTTGCGGATCACCGCCCGCGACCATTCGCCGTCGTGGCCCGCGCCATCGCGCTCGAGTTCAATTCCCAAGCTGCGGTAGACGCGCAGGCGCAGCAGCACCTCGTCCTCGGTCGCCGCGGCCGCCGCGCCGCTGCCACTGCCGCTGCCGCCGCTGCCGACCAGCGGGCCATCGTCTCCTTGCAGCTCCAACTCTTGCAGACGCGCCGAAAGATCCGCTGCCTGGGCCGACAGCCGCTCCGTCTCCATCTCGAGGTCGGACGCGGCCTTGGCCACGCGAAATTTCTGGGTGTCGAGGTGCGCAATCGTCGGCGCGTGCGCGGCCGCCGCGTGCTTCGACGCGAGCTCGTCGTGCTGGGCGCCGAGTGTGTTGAGCTGGCGCGCGAGGCGCTTCATAGACGCCTCGGCCTGTTCAACCTGCAGCTGGCGCGCTTCCTGGAGGGTGGACAGCGATTCCTTGATGCGGGCGACGGCGGCCTTGTCGGGTGCCGTGTTGAAGTTGTCGACGGTGTGCTGGATGAGCTGGAGGGAGACAAGGAAGGTTAGCAGGTGGATTAGGTAGACAAAATGCTGTCCCTGGCATCGTCCTCCCTCGTCATGGTGCCCCCATGGTCTCTTTTCTCGGCTCAAAACGTACCACGGACGGGTCTTCTTCGAACAACATGATGGGCTGATTTTGAGGTATGGAGATGCGATTTTTCTGGTCGTACTTTGTGAGGACGTCCGTTGCGATGCGTTGGCTGTTCAATCTATTCGCGAAACCGTTTCATAAGGTGTCGTCGCGGTGGTTGTGCTGTGTTGACATTGTTTAAATGGTTTTGCCGCTCACTTTCGTCGCGAAATGACTATGCGCGTTTTGCTGCCATTAATGAATGGGAGCGCGTCGCTGGGGTGATTATCTTATCGGTGACCATCGCTCCTTCCCCGACGACCCGCCAATTATTGATGGAGAGAAACAACCAAAAAACCTGCCAACGCCGTCATCGATCTGCATTCTTATTTTGTTATAAAAAAAGTTTTGTGAGCAAATGAAGATATTTGATGAATTGACGACTGCAGTGCCTTTCAATACGGTTGACAATTACTTGTGGTGGCGTCATAAAAATGGCCTTTTGTTTACCATTTCGCGAAAGCACGACATAAAGTGTCTCCCAGCGATAGGTAAAACAGGAAAGTACGATTCATGTATTCTGCATCATATCTCAATGCTACCAACTACCTACCCATCTTGTTCAGACGGCCGGTCCTGCCTTCCTCGCCAACCAAAGTTCGTGTCTTGGGCGGCTGCTGATCGCACCTGCCCGCTTTCATGAAGTCACATGCCGCTATTACGTCGTGCACACGGGCAGGAACATGGTGGCCTGCAGCAGGCCGAGGAGCTACTTCCACAACTTCCCCTCTTCTCTTTGCTTTTGCGAAATGCAAGGTCGCTGGGGTCGGTAACACACAGCGCTGCAAATTAGCGTCTTAGCGCCATGCAGCTTCACCCACTAAACCCTGTGTGGCCCCTCTCGATCTCCCCAAGACCCAAATCACAGCGCCATGCGCGGCGTGTGTCTGGACCGTCGGAGGAATATCTTACACCGCAGACTACGTCGTATTAAACTTACAGCGGGAGAGCGCTATGACGACGTACCGCATAGGGGCAAAAAGCGAGCGCGTGCGCGGTGGTGGCGGAAAGGGTGGAGTTTCGTGGGTGCCTGCTGCTGTCTGCTCCAGTTGTTCCTTCCCTGTTCACTAGCAGGTTTTTTTGCCCGTTCCTTCCCCAAGCCCAAACTCTCGTTCACTCCACGAGCAACTTCCACTCACAACCTCCTCTATCCGCGTTAGCCAACTTGAGCTTGATTTCCTCCCTTTCCTCTTTGTTTCTCACTCTACTATCCCACCACCACATTGACGATATCTACAAACGACGTTTCCCTTCATACGTAACGACACAACCCGACGGCACGAACCGACAACGTCCACATCCGCTTCGCGCCACCGACACACGACACCCCCAAAATGACGGCTCTACCATGTACGTCGCGCGATCACCACTTGTGAAGCTTATCCGACCCTTTTCCACATACACGGGCTCTTCTGTCCGGTTTGCCCCCCTTTCTGCGATAGTAATTGCTGACGCTGTCTTTCTTCGGCCGACCAGACGCTGTAGATGCGGAGACGTACGTGTCTAGATAGCTTCTTCTTCCTTGGCCTCCCTGGCCTCCCTGGCTTCCCCCTTGCCATTTTTGCCGCGATCCGCCAACTCTCCGGCTCGGTGTCGGCCATGTGGCTTGGCATTGATATGCTCCGCGGCGCGCAATCTCGAAAGACTGCTCACGTGCCATTGTGGCCGCTGCAAATACCGTGCCGTGCTCGGCTCTAAGACTGTGCAGCCGAGCCGAAGAACATGCCGATTGTCTCTCAACTACCGCGAGACCTCTCATACGCTGACTTTTTGGTTTTTCTTTGTACAGTTCGCTCAACCCGGCGGAGCTCCAGGTGCTGCGCGCCCAGTTTGAGAAGGAAGGCGACATGGTCGGCGTGCAGACCAAGTTCAACTTTGCATGGGGCCTCGTCAAATCCAGCGCACGTGCCGATCAGCAACAGGGCGTCATGCTCTTGACCGAGATCTTCCGCACGTCCCCCGAACGCCGCCGCGAGTGCTTGTACTACCTGGCCCTCGGCAACTACAAGCTCGGCAACTACGCCGAGGCACGCCGCTACAACGACCTGTTGCTCGAGAAGGAGCCAACGAACCAACAGGCGTCGAACCTCAACACACTGATCGACGACAAGGTACAGAAGGAGGGCCTCGTTGGCGTCGCCATTGTCAGCGGCATTGCCGTCGTGGCGGGCGTCGTCGGTGGTGTCCTGCTGCGCAACATTGGCCGCCGGCGGTAGCTCTGATGAATCACCTTCCCGGCCTGCCGACGGTGTCTCTCCAAGCGCCGACCGACGGTCACCAGGAACCTTCCCACACGAATCAAACCCATACAACACATCATCCAACAACCACGAAACAAAGCTGGACCTTTTTTCTATATCCGGGCTGGGAAAGGAAAGGGCAAGGGGAGTTTATTTTGCATATTTGCCTTTTTAGTTTCTCGACATGCTTCTCGTCTTTGTCTCATGTCTTTTTCTGCCGCCATTTACCATGCCGGTTGCATCGTCCTGACGTCCTGACGTCCTTCCTTCTTCGAATTTGTGTTTTAGTACCGAATAATGATTATATAACAACCAGCCACGCCCGACTGCATCTTGCGCCGACACCACCCCTTACAACTAAAAATAACGACAAAAACATTCAAAAATTCAACGTCAATACAAAGCCTACCAAAGAAAATCAAAACCAGGGAACGGACAGGAATCCAAAGAAACGTACACTGCTGGGTGCCCTCTCCTTTGTCTCCGCGGCAGGAGGAACAGAGAGGGTACAACCGTCCCAAACCAACGCCACTCTCAGTATATAGCTAAATGCACATGAATCGAAATGAATTTTAAGTTCAGTTTGTACATTGCGAGCCAGACACGCAACATAAGAAGCGTAGTCGTTTGTCTTGAAGACACCGGCAAACCCATGTTAGTGTGGTTTGTTTAGACATATGCACGTTGCCCTGCAGGTGATGTAAAGCGGCAGCCAAAATAAGACGCGTGTTATGCATGAGCGTGACAGGGGAGGATGGCCTAGCCAGATGGGCTGAAAATGGCATGGAGTTAAAACGTCATGAGCTGAGGGTGGATTTGCATGCGTTCAGGTTTGCCGTCCATCGCCATGCACCTTTGTCTGACTGTACAAAAATATGTGGTTTGTCATACTTGCACCATGTACAGTGTTTCTGCATCTTATCAAGAAAAGTCCTGTCAACTGTGGTTTTATTTAATGAATTCAGTGCCTGGATTTTGTTACTTTCCTCATAATATTTTGTAGTAAATATTCTCATATCATCTGCCAAGCTGTCCCGTGAGAAACGGCGTGTGAAGCATGTGGCTAAGTTGAAGTGGCGAGGCTACTGGTCAGGTAGTCTTGCGGTATTCTATGCTACCATTGCTGCCTCCCGGGCCTCTCAACAATATTGCCACCCAAAACGTAACTCGCGGGAGACGGATAACAAGCCCTGGCCATCAAAACTCACCGTTGTAAAGTCTTCGGCCTGAAGGTTTGGGCAGTTGTCTAACGGATTGTTTAAAAAGCGGCCATATCGTGGCCGTTTGCACTTGCCCCATAGAAAATAGCGACTGTTATGTCACAGAGGGCCTGAAAGGCAGGAACGCCTCACAGTGTCAATAGACGGCAGTCCTCTCCATAGCAACCTGAAGACATTCACTGGTGTTGTCTTCCAATGAGCAAAAGAAGATAAAAGCCGCGCAGTCATTATCGGCAGCAGGCTCACTCTGCACAAACAGCACGTCACACCGTCACAGCATCCTGACAGTCCGGTGGTACGTCATTCGTCGACAACTGTCATCCACTTGCAGTTGTTTTGCCCAATAGGCCCAAGACCTGCACTAAGAACTTTATGCTCCTTCTTTTGCTGTCTTTGACTTTCTGCGGCTCCCAAGCGGCTTCCAGAAAGCAACCAATCTCCACAACTTGTCATCAGGCTGCGTTTTCGATTTGGGTGACTAAAATTGCCGTGCCCGTGGGCCTTGTTCTTTCCCTCGATTCCAGTTTCTTCTTGGCCTCTTTTTCTATTTTCTCGCACTCCTTTGCCCGTCCTTTGAATCCGTATCCTTTTCAGTCTCATTGTGCCCCATACATTGCCCTGCGACTGCCCTGCAGTCATCGGTCGTCACTTCCTTGCGCAGCAAACAGTGCAGCAGCAACCAAGCTGAAGTGCCCCCACACTGTGCCGACCGCGCCTGCCGTTTTCCACAGCACACTTTTGCCCATCACAAAGCAGCGCTGATTAAATGTCGCCATCCACCAAACAGCGAAATCAGCCCTTCTTCACAGACCTGGACGCAACACCGCACAAGAGCGTGGGAACGTGAAGACACAAAGAGAGCAGAACAGGAGGGTTGCTGTCCCTCATCTCCAGTTGACCGTTTGATCACTCGCCCGCCAAACAGCAGCGCCCAACGAGGCTCTCCAGTGTGCCACCCGTTGGTGCCCCTTTTGCTCCGCTCCTTTTTGGACATTTTTAATTCGCTTTCTTATTTTTGGTACTGTTATCTGTCTCTCACATTTCTTTCCCCTTTTCATCACTCTTCTCTTCGCGTGATCAACACAACGCACCGCGAACTTGTCCTGCGGCTTTCTACACCCTTCGATTACCGACCGTCTGCTTCCTGTAGACTTAGGCAAGTGGGTCCCGTAGTCCCCTTGGTTCCGCCTTCCTTCCGTCTGTCTCCTTCCCGGCACGTCAACCCAACACCTTGGGCGTCTAGCCTGACAAACTTCCCAAAAGCAATTATCCGAAACCTCCTACAGACAAGACACCGCCATCAACAGCGACCATCCTACAGACAAGACGCTCGGACGTCTTCCACGACCCGGCCGATACCTTGAACCTTACCCGAACCCTATTTTCTCCCCGGCAAACGCATAGCATACGGCGCCTGCTCCGTCGCCATCTCTCGGCTTTTGCCGTTCGCATCGCCGCGGCTCTCCTGCAACGGGAGCAGCAGCCAAGGGGCAGTCCGCGGCGACAGTCCGCGGCGGCAGTTCGACTAGACAGCAGAGACTGCCTTGCCCGTTGCCAGCACAGCCGCCGACATGGCGTCGGCGTTTTCCCCGTCCCGGCAGCGCCTGGCCACCAGAGAAGGCTACGATGTTGCATTTTGCCACAACTGCTTCCATGAGTGGTACCTGAATGTCGGTGCTGCGTCGCCGCCTCCGCCGTGTCCACGCTGTGGAGCTGAAGTGGTCGAGATTGTACGTCGCTCGTTTGCCCCAGGAGCCCCTGCGGAGATCCGCCTCGCCTCCATCCATTCTAACCACGTTCTACAGGTTGAGGACAGCGACAACGATCCACGAGGCTACCAGCAGCCTGGTGGGCTACCTATGTTTGCCGAGGTCCTCATGGGCCTTTCGGGTCTCGGGTCCTTGGCGCGAAACGGCAACCGTTCGGACGGCCAGACGAGCGACGCTGGACACGACAGCCACGACGGCCGAGATCGAAACGCCCCCTACGACCCGTTTTCGAATCCTGGCGGCCCTGGTCCTGGCCACGACAACGGTCACCGTCACGACGCGATGGACGCTGCGAACGACCCACTGGACGACGATATGTACTCGGACCCGGACGAGGCCGACATTGACGTGGAAGAGTACCACGGGCCGAACAATGTCTACATGTACCGCTCCACCCAGCGGTTTGGACCGGGCGACCCCGACGACCCGCACGACGACCCGGCGCTTCTAGGCATCGGGATTCATACCTACAATCCACAAGCGGCGGGTCCGCCTCCTCACCTGCGGTCCCCAGTGCCGGGCCAGCAGGCACGAGAAGCGCCGCCACAGGAGCCACCCCTAGCTCCCCAACGAGAACCGCAGGAACCGCCGCGACGGGTGCCGGCGGCAGACCCCGCCGACCCCCGAGCTATGATCGACACGTTTATGCAGTTCATGCACGGTCTGGGTGATGGCAACCGAGCTGGCCGTTCCGGCCCCGAAACGCTGTTTTCGGGTGGTACGAACAACAACCAGGGCGGAGCCAACGAGCCCGGACACCCCGGTCGCCAGAACATGCCGGGAGCCATACCGCAGCACCGGACTACGACCATCAACACCAACTTTGGTACTACCAGTTTCACCATTGCCACGGGGCCCTTGCAGCGAGATGCTGCTGGTAACTTCAGCACCGTCTTCGCCAACATCATGGGCAACGTGGGCCCGCCCAACGTCGACCGCCAGAACCCAAACCAGAACCAGCGGGGGCCGGGTGGTGCGAACGGCGGCAACGGCACCCTCCCACCCTTCTCGGATGCCCTGCAAAACCTGCTCGCTATGATCGTCGGCCAGGGCGCCGCAACTGCTACCTTCAATGGCGATGCTGTCCACTCGGACGAGGCTTTGGACCGCATCATCACGATGCTGATGGAGAACAACCGCGGCCCGACTGGTGCCCCGCCAGCCTCTCAATCGGCGTTGGATGCGCTCGAGCGCAAGAAGGTCGACGCCAAGATGCTCGAACCCGACGGTCATGCCGAGTGCACCATCTGCATCACTGAAGTGCAGCTCAACGAAGAAATCTTGTACTTGCCGTGCAAGCACTGGTTCCACGAGGAGTGTGTCGTGACCTGGCTGCGCCAGCACAACACGTGTCCTGTGTGCCGGCATGCCATTGCGGGCAATACGAATGCCGCACCCAACACGGTGCCCAACAATTCAAATACAACCCCAGGTGCGGCTCCTCCAGCCGGTCAAGGAGCACAGCAGCAGCAGCAGCAGCAGCAGCAGCAACAACAACAACAGCCGCAACAGCCGCAACAGCGACCCATCGGCGACTTTATGCGAAACCACCGCATCAACGCCTCGACGCATTTGGCCGACCATCTGCAGTTTCACCAGCAGCAGGTCAACCGCGCCCGCCTGAACGCGATCCGTGCAACTGCGAATCGCCCGCCCGAGTCGGGGCCGGTGCCGGTGCGTGGAGCTGGACCGAACCTGAACCTGAACGTGAACCTAAACCCGAATCCTTTCGGGGCCTTTGGCGGCGGCGCCTTTGGATCGCCCGCCGGGTCTCCGTTTACAGGGTCGCCGTTCAACGGGTCACCTTTCCAGCAGCCCTCGCCGTCTCCGACGCCGTCATCCACGACGCCCCCGCCCTCGTCCTCGCACAATGCCAGCCACTATCGGAGCTCGCGCGTGCCAGAACGCGAGGCCGCGGCCGAGCGCGAACGCCGTCGCCGCGACTCGCACTCGCCCGGTGCTGGCCCCAACGCGTCCAACCGCCGCT